TTGCGAGTAAAATTAAAACAATAAAAAACAAACAAACATTAACTGTGCTAAAATTGTTGACTCGTGAAATGTGTAAGATTTGTGTATACCTGTATTTTTTGCCCTGTTTTTGACGTATATAAAAATTAAAATATTAACGATCACGGATACAAAACTGCAATTATAAGTCAATTGAGCTTTTATTTCACTTTACGTTTCACAGTAAATGTGAAGGTGCAGAATTCTTGAGCTACGTGGGAGAAACAAGTTATTGCGAAATGAACAATAGATCGTTGTAAATCCAACTTCCTTCTTTCCTAGTGTGGGCGTTAAAGTGGAATACTTAATAAAAACTCCTACTGGTTGTGTTCCTGCTACTGTGTAATATTTCTTGCTTTCGGAAAGGTTCTACTTTCCTGTTGTTTTCTTTTCTAGAATAGCCTGTATCACCATTTTGAGTAAGGAAGATCCTCGGATGAGTTAACAGTTCTGTAAATAAACTATGCATCTATATTATGTGTGAATAAACTCACCTTAACAACTCCCTCTATTCTGTATTGTGTAAAATACAATAGACATACAACTATGTACTTAGGCCCGGCATGGCCAGGTGGTTAAGGCACTCGACTCGCAATCTGAGGGTCGCGGGTTCGAATTCCCGTCACACCAAACATGCCCGCCCTTTCAACCGTGGGGGCGTTATAATGTGACGGTCAATCCCACTATTCGTTGTTAATAGAGTAGCCCAAGAGTTTGCGGTGGATGGTGATGACAAGCTGCCTTCCCTTACTCTGCTAAATTAGGGACGGCTAGCGCAGATAGCCCTCGTGTAGCTTTGCGCGAAATTCAAAAACAAACAAACAAACCCTCTAATCTATCACTATTAAATTAGGGACGGCTAGCGCAGATAGCCCTCGTGTAGCTTTGCGCGAAATTCAAAAACAAACAAACAAACCCTCTAATCTATCACTATTAAATTAGGGACGGCTAGCGCAGATAGCCCTCGTGTAGCTTTGCGCGGATTACAAAACAAACAAAACTATGTACTTTCGTTTTTCGCACATAAACGTTAGTGTTAACTGCTTGTACGAATTACCTTTGGTAAGACGAGATAATAGTATATATATATTCGTTCCATGAAGTCCTGTGGAGAAAAAAAAAACACTAAGATATTAACGAAAGTTATATATTGCACAACAGTGCTATTACAAAACGTCATTTTTGATCAGGAATGATATGTACTTTGAAAAACTGAGCTATATATACATAAGTGTATCAAAACAGGCTTATTATCATAAGGAACGTTGTTTAGAGGTAACGTTATTTAAATATATTTATTTATAAGCACTGGTAAGTTAGTTGATATCGAAGTAAAATTGAAAATCACGTTTTGATCAAAAACAAATCTTCAATTATAACTGAATTCCGCTGTTAGATATTCGAGAAAAAAAACACACAGAAAAACGAACGCATTTACAGTTTCTGCTACTTGTAAGTCACCGTTGGGAAGCGTATGTTAAGTTACAGACGTTGAGTCGCGAAATTCTGTGTTGGCACCAGTATTTTGGCTTTGACTAGTTCATGAAGGAATGTTGTTGTTGGACAAGACGCGTGTCTTAATTGTACTGCATTATACCTGGTTGCCCGGAAGTGGCACAAGAGTAAGCGAATTCATAACACTGGGAAGTGTGTAGGCGTGGTTTCCCAGCAGTCTTCGTAACAGCCTCCTAGCCTTGTTACTTTTCTTGCTAATTAAAGAATGCGAGTCTTTGAGACACGAAATCACATCACTACAAAACTTTCGAAACACTGCACTGCTTGTTTTGGCGTAGAAAACAGTGTTCGTAGTAAGGTATGCATTTCTATTCACCTTCAGATCAATCCACATTTTGTATACCGAATGAAGAAATAAACAGTATTGCATTCTAACGTCAGAAAGTACTTTAACGAATCTTGTTATGGTGACTAGTTTATTATTGTACGTGCATATATATATTTGTAGAATTTGTCGTTATATGGAACTATAATAGAAACCGGAATAAAGAGGTGTGTTGTGTTCTGCAAACTCTGCATAAAGACTAGTTGACATTTAACAAAAGTTCGACACCTGACTGCGAAGTACAGTATTTAGGAACGTGTCGGATATTTGATACCACGGAGTTAAACACAACTTTTCAAATTCGCTGATTATCAATTTCGGGAATGGCCGGTGGAACAAAACCACTTCGTGGTCCTTTTTTCAAAACGTTACGTTATCGCAGTGCCAGTCTGACCAACATTTTAGAATCAGCTAAAGCATTGTGTTCATCGCAAAAGAATAAAACTCACAAACGTTTCAACAGCTCTTTGCACATAGAGGTAAGATCTTAACGTCCCTCTCTTATAGTTATACAAAATGGTGACAATTTCAGGATTTTTACGGTGTTTACTTAATCCCTCGGTGCCTATAAGTCAGTTACTCTAAAATTATTATACTATAAACGGTGAACTGACTTATAGGTGGATCATAGTATTAAAGAGGGTTATTTCGCACCATTTTCATGTTGCTGATTATGCAATACCATTGAAAATTGAGAAACTACAAATAAAATCCATCCAACTATCTAAACTCTCCGAAATCTAAACTCAAAATCTAAACTAGCTAGCCCCTAAAAATTTGTACTAATTAAATTGACTAACTTTTAAAATGTTCTGCAACACCATGAATAAAGCAAGATGTCTTATGGTGTCTGCGTGTATTAAATATACTAGAACTGTTTTACGGGACTCGTGTAGGTAGTAACTTACATATTTGTGTATATATCTGCGTGTATTAAATGTGCCAAAACTGTTTTACGGGACTCGTGTAGGTAGTAACTTACATATTTGTGTATATATCTGCGTGTATTAAATGTGCTAAAACTGTTTTACGGGACTCGTGTAGGTAATGATATTTGTGTGTATATCTGCGTCTATTAAATGCGCTAAAACTGTTTTACGGGACTCGTGTAGGTAATGACTTACATATTTGTGTATATATCTGCGTGTATTAAATGTGCTAGAACTGTTTTACGGGACTCGTGTAGGTAGTAACTTACATATTTGTGTATATATCTGCGTGTATTAAATGTGCTAGAACTGTTTTACGGGACTCGTGTAGGTAGTAACTTACATATTTGTGTATATATC